TTGTCCACATCTCAATGAGGCAGATTTGTTTGGGCATTCAGACACCTGAGAACTGTGTTTGGGAAGCGGCGCTTCGCAGAACTGATTTTTAACGCAATTGCAGTCTGAGCATCTTTAAAGGTATAAAGTAGAGGATCAAAGAAGGAATGAGTTTTCAGTAACTGAGTTTCACATTGTTGATTCTTTCGGCAACTACATACATTACACTGTTGTTGAGTAGGAGGTAGAACGGATTCAATCATTAGGCGATTTCTAAAGTCTGACTTGATAGACTTCCTGCTTTAGAAATGAGACTATGTGGTAGCATCATGGTGCAGTTTTGGCACATAACGAAAGTACCAGCAAACTCTAGAATGGAATGTCTAAAGCATCTGAAATATTTAATGATTATTCTGTGATTCTGTAAGTCATTAAATTTCTTTGAACTAATTTACCTAGCATGACCCTTAGATCAGGAATATATACTTGTGGTGATTATATCACTTGGGCAATAACCATACTTCAATCTAGGGTGTTTTTTCATTCTATCGTTGGTGTGTGACAACAATGCTACAGAATCAACATGGTTTTACTTCAGTGACTTTAGAGGCTGTTGGTGCATATTTTTGAGATGTGATCGTGATGCGGTGCTCTAGTTCATTAGTGCACCACTGATTTATTCTGCAGTGAAAGACAACGCATTCATCTGCAAAATGTACATTCTGCAATAGTGGTGTTTGTCTACAGAATCAAGTTCTTAGCTTCCACCCATGTTTTCTAATGTGTATCGCAGGGAACAATACTTACGTAGGTTGTTAACAAGTGTTATGCAAATAAGCAAAATGAACCTCAGCTTCTCAAAATTTAAGCTTCTTAGCATAACAAGAACGTTCATTTTAAATGTATCATCAGCTTGCCTTTCTGACCTCTCCTGCACTAGTCATGTTAAACTACTTGCTGTTCCTCAAATCCTTAATGTATTTTGTTCATGTCTGTATGCCTTTACTCCAACTGTGCCCTTTTTCTTGAATGCTTTTGCCTTTGATTTCATTAAATTTCTTGATAATTTCCAAATATCATTTTATGCTAATGTGATTCATTAGCACGCTTGGTGGGCTTTGAGGATAAGGACTGTATTTTATTCTACTCCAAAATAGCATAGTTTTTGGCACATAGTTGGCATTAAACAAATAGTTTCTACAAGAATGAACAGATGCGTGAATAATGAAAAGAAGAAAGCTCTTGCTTCTTGAATGACTGGAAAGCTGGATGAGTGGTTCTATGTATGGATACATGCTGTGAACTGAAATCATTCCCTTGCCGTGAGGACATGTGATCTGTAGGGAGAAATCTTGACTTCTCCTCAAAATGAAAAATGGTGAGAGAGCAGGCATCGGGACTGTCTTCAGTGTTGAACTCTGCAAGGATGTTCAGAGTCCACAATGACATCAGAATATGGCCAGAGGTTCTCCGAACTATTCCTACAGCTAAACAATTCGTGGAAGTTGTTAAAACCTGCAGATCTCGTAACCATTCATTCTTAGGAACAGAGTTGAGTTTCCTCTTAGGAAATTTCTCAGATATGTTAGAAAAACATTTAAAAGAAATGTTGTACACTTCTAATTTACACATAATCTTGAGCTTGGTGGTCCTTATCTTCTGGGATTTGGCTGACACCTGAAATTCATATACGGCCTATAGCTTCCCATGGTCTAGAAGAGAAAGGAGCAAATGTAGCGTAATGCCAGTTAACTGAAAACTGAGAATTCAAGACTTGCAACACAAAATGAAATGATGCTTGAAGAGAAACAGGAGGGAGAGTGGGAAAGGGGAAAGATGAAGAGGGAGGATGGCAGCAAAGGCTAGATTTTCATTCTCATTTCTTCCTGAAAGCTGAGAGTATATTCTTAGGAGCTGCAGAACAAAGTGTGAAATGTAGCTGTGCATTTGACCTAATTACACGTTGAGAAAACACCTCATCCTATTTAGTAGAAGGAAGGTTTTCATCTGAACAGCTATATTTCAAAATGTTTCTGTAAATGAAAAATAGGCAACCTGCTTAAATTCTCGAGGTAATTAGCATTATGTGCTTTAAAAAAAAACAGCCAGGAATGAATGTTGTAATATGAAAGATCTATATTTTCCATATAGAAAATCATCCTGAGACTTTTACTCATCCACATAATCCTTTCACAAATATCAAGAACTGCTAAGAATCAAAGCATATAGCAGGTAGGTAGGCGGAGAAGCAGGAAGGAAAAGGCCACATACATCTCTGAGTTGAGAAGATTTCATCATCAAGCAATTAATGGAAAAAAAAAGAGAGAGTTGGATTGGAGATCTTGTGGTATCAAGAACAAGGATCCATCAGCCATACAGTGCCAGATTAATTCACATACAGACAAACATTTGCTCCTCCATCTCTTTAGCAATCTCCATGTATATCTTATATAAATGTGGACATGTGTAGCTATTATTACTGCACAAGAAAAGCACTCAGAGTTTCATTATACTCTTGTGATTAGAATAGAAACAATCTACGAAAGAACTGATGAATTTGTGATCATCCTTATGTGACTATCTATAATAAAATCACATAATGTTAGTGCCAGAAAAGGAAGTCTTTAGTTTAGTTCACTGATTTTATGATGGAAAACTGAACCTCACAGGAGAGAAGCAACTTGTCATTTACCAGATTCCTAGTTACCATTTTGGAATGCACTAGGTAATCTTGATTTAAGAAGGAGAAAGTAGAAAACAAAATTAGAGGAATTATCCCACAAGCTGATCAAAATGTCTGTTTGACTCCTACTAGTGATGTTACCAGTGACCTCACTGTCATACTAAACTTCCAGATTTGATTAGTGCTTTGCCATGTAGCAGGGGTATTCACATTCCCTATGTCATTTGATCATCAGTATAACTCTGTAGGTGTAGTATTTCTAAATTATAGATGAATAAATGGAAGCTCAGGGCAGAGACACACTAAAGAATTAAGCTGGGCCTTTAACACAAGCTTACCTGATTACAAATTCTTGATTTACATAGTGTCAAGAGTCACTGCAACTTGTGGTTAATGGAGGCTCTAATATCTCAGTGGGTCACACACAGTAGATGCCTAGTAAATCTCACCCTGATACTCACACTGAAATGCAAGCCATCCATAGCACTTCTGCTTGTCTTCACTGTGCTAAGTCCACTCAATTTTGAGCATTTTACCTAATCAATCAACCTGAAAAACGACTACATTTTTCTGCGCAATGACTCAGTTTACAAAGTTATGTCTGACTGATATATGGTAGCTTTTCAAATGGTGTTTGTGGGCATCTTTTCACAGGCTGCTTCACAATTTAGGACAACCACTGAGGCATGGAACTAATTTTAAGATGTGTACTCACATATTGTGAGTACTTTTGTTATTAAAATTCACTTTTATCAGAGTAGATGTGCAATTTGAATAAGGAAATGACAAGTGAAAGAAGTCTTCGTCTAAGAATCTCCATACCTTCCATATAATTAACAAGTTCTGTGTATAAGAGCACTCATTCTAGTGTTACAACATCCATTTGAGGAAAACTTCCTCTTGTCAATACCCATGTTTCCCTTCCTGGCTTTCTTTCAGCACACCTTCAACTCAGTCCTGCCTTCCCTACTCCAATCAGACCACAATGACAGGGTCACCTGGGAGCAACTCCCTTAGATATTGACTCTCATTTGATAGGGCTGTCTGGAAATCCAGTAAGAGGATCAGCCTGCCATGTCTGGGAGTACTAGATGCTATGTGAAGTGCTTCTTCTGTTGATACTATCACGGATGGAACCTAAGTCCATTCATGTGAGAAACTTTGGCCTATGTAAATACTAGTGGCCTATAAGGAAGGGAGAGTATCATTATACGAAGTCTCATATATGGTCCAGCTCCAGTATGAGGAAACTAGTGGCTGGCTGTCAATGTGCACAGAGGCAGACAAGCTATTGAGCAGATAAGGTATTGAGAGACAATTGCTACAAATTACCCTTGAGAGGGGAGGGAAGAGCATTGGATTCCAGGAATGTGGGTGTTCCAGGCATATAATGAGTAATCAGGTAGGAGGCTAGAGTTTCAATACACTTTCCTTTCTTTGGGTTGTATTTGTAAATCAAAGTGGACTAATGAGCCTGGTTTTCTCATGACAGACGTGTTTTTTGGAAGCAGCAAGCAGCAGGGAGGACCCTGGCATTGGGCAGATATAAACATGAATAAATGAGGAAATTTGAGGGAGAAAATATTTGTCATTAAACTGATGTCAGGTCTTTGTGGAGTAGTGACAGCATCATGGTGAGACACAGGCTCAGAGGAACTAAGATCCTTAAGATAAAGGGTTGCCCTTCAAAAAGCTGCATGTTCCCACTATTAGGCTTCTATATTACTAAAAATGCTTTTGGAAATGATCAATAGGTTTTCAAAGAAAAGGAAATGATTAAAGGGCCTGCTTATTCCCAGGAAATGCAGCGAAGGAAATTGGCTGTGTTTGGCATCCAAGTCTCATGCTCCAAAGAGAAGCTGCTTGTCATTCCAGGTGGCCAGTCCTACATTGAAGGACCAGCCTGTGCTTGGGTCATTCTGCTCTTCTGAATGATCTGGATTTCTTAGTTCCCTCATCTTAACTACCACTGAACCACAACAACCCAGTACCATTATGTTCCTTGAAGAATTGTATGTTGTCATGTGCACACTTGGACCTTCTGTTGGTTCTTGATCCCTGATTGTCACCTCCTGCTTATCTGATATGATAACTCATATCATATCAGATAACTCATATCATATCAGATAAGCATAGTACCTCATAGAACCTCATAGTATAGAGTGGTCTGGTTAACTAAAGTCACCAGCTGGCTGATGGCCATTTTAGCGATGAAAGGGTCAACCCTCATCTAGGGCATGGCTAGGCTCCTTGGAAGCAACAAGGAAGAAAATTTGGTTTACAGGAAGAACTAGAGAACAAGTGAGAAGAAGAGAAAAAAGGAATAAAAGTCTCATACCTCCCAAAGTCATCCCTGCTTCATAGCATTTCCGGAGACGACAAGATGGACAATTTTTCCTTCGGAATTTATCAATGGTGCAGTCATTTCTGCTGGCACATAGGTACTTCTGCTTCCCTGGGAGAATATAAACAACAGATTCGTTAATGTACTTCCAGGACCATCTCACTTTGGGCATTTCTAGGCAAAAAAAAAACAAAAAACAAAAACAAAAACAAAAACAAAAACAAAAACAAAAAAACACTTGAAGACATAGCCTACCGGATGAGAGAAGTGGACAGAGAAGTTCCCAAATAATTTGATCACACATAAGTCTTGTTGATACCTCCATTATTAGGACTACTCAATGGCTTGAATAAAGGATGCTTTACTTTTACCAAATGCCAGGAACACCCAGAAAAAAAAAAATGATAAGCTATGGAGACTTACTCTTTCAGCAAGGCACAGCAGCAGCTGTGCTAATCCAGTGTTTACTCTCACTGTCACCTGTAAGCATGTATAGGATCAAACTCAGGCTAATAAGATGTTTATTTTTTATAATACATTGCAGGTGAAACTTCTGTAAGAGACAACTATGTGAGACTTCCGTTTTTCAAGTGCGAGCAGAGTGATGACATCCCCCACTCTGCAGGTCTTAAAAGTCATGGATAAAATTCACTCGTTCCATGATGAATTACAGCAAGTAAAATGAATTATCTGAAGCCAACAGAGGAATAGAGATCACTTTCTGTAAACCTATAGTCATATCACACACACTCACACTCACTCACACTCAGTGTCAAAGATCCATGGATGTGGTCAGAGATGTTCAGACAGAGATCTTATGAAAACATGCATTTCACTCAATACTTTTCTGCTCTGTTCCTATTACAAGCCTGGCACCCACTAGGCCCTCTAATAAACATGGAAAGAGATGCAAAGGTACACAAATTCACAAGTATAAAAAGACAAAGAGGAACTGCCAACTGCTCGTCAACATGCAGGATTTCTTATGCTCAGGATCATGCTCCAGCCTCAGCGTGTGCATCCGTGTACTCCACTCTTTCCTTCGACAAGTCCCTATTATTTCTTCCTTCATATTCACTGACATAGCTGTATTTAATGAACTGAATGGGTTTTAGGGATACTTATTTTGGGAGAGGAGAAATGTTTGTGGTGAGGGAAAAGAGGAAACCTAAAAATGAATAATTGATAACAGGAAAACAACAACTATTAAACAGAAAGTTACCTATTGCTCCTTTTCCTCTTTCTTCATCAGACCTAGGATATGCAGATCGGGTACAGAAATGCTTCTTTTCATGCTAGGTTATTTCATGGAGTAGGCTCCATATTAACCAGATCGTTACTTGAAAGAACATGCAGTTTGCTTAGTCATATGCACGTATTCATGTGTGAATGCAGAACTACTGCATTCTGGTTCACCCATGCACACATGCTTATGAGTGTGATCACATACATTATACAGTAAACTAAAACATACAAATACACATTTATTTCTTTTGAAAAATAATGAGGTATTTAATATTTGAATTCACACTTAAGAGAGAAAGAAGTGGTTGAGTATTTCAAAGAGATGGATATGGAAGCAGTATCTTTTTCTTGAGGTCCTAAAAAGAGGAGCAGAACTAACCTATGTGGTTTGAATTAGGGATAGAGACAGGTTTATTCCAACTCACTTCTATCTAAATCACTACTTCCTGAATTGATGGCAGAGAAAATGTACAATCACGGATTTACTGTTAACATTTTTGTATTTATTCTGTTTTCCTAAATGTGTGGTTGTCACTGTCAGAGTTTTTTTAACAGTAACAGATATCACTCCCTTTGGTTATTTCATTGGAACATAATAATAATCTTATAAAAAAGCTTAACATATATGTCCCATTCTGTGAGGAAGAGTGAGAAGTTCATTAAAGTGAAATAGGCTAGGACTTCCAGTAGTACACTGAATAGAAAAGTAGTGAGATTGTATTCCTGGCTTCTTCCTAATTTTGGGGAAACAAGCCTTCCTTTTTCTAAATTGAATATGATGTTAACTATGGATTTGCCCTATATGGTCTTACTGTGTTGAGGAACATTCTTCCTATATCTAATTTGTTGAAAATTTTATCAACAAAGAATTCAAATGTTCTCAAGTACTTTTTTCAGTGTCTGCTAAAATTATCATACTCATACTGTTTTGTACTTCATTCTGCTAATATGATAACTATATTTTTGGAATTCTATATGTTGTACTACCCTTATTTTCCAGGAATCAATGCCAGTTAATCATAGTGAATGGTTCTCTCAATGTGCTGCTGAATTTGGTTTGCTAGCATTTTATTCATGATATGTGATTTCTTTTTTTTTTTTTTTTTTTTTTTTTTTTTTGTACATCGGGGATATTAGCTCAGCTTGCATCATATACTTGATTGAAGGAATTTTAAACTTTGAAACTCTTCCTTCTAGGAAATTTACTGCCTTTTTGTAGATCTGACCGTTGGGTGTAATTAGAAACATGATACTTCTGGGTTTTAAAGGACATTAAAAACCTTTTAACAAGATGTCTCAATGTGATGCTTGACTCTTAAGTTACAAAAATGAGCACAAAATGTTTGTTACATACACTAAGCTGAAGCATGATCATGGTAATGTCAGCACAAAATAAAAAAAAAATTCATCCAATTGAGGCATGATATGGGGTAATTGTAACCAGAAGATAAAGCATTTTGGATGAGTCACACATCTTGTTCATTTGTCTAGGAAGTGTATAGCTCTGTGGTTATCCTCTGTGTGGTCAGTTGACAGAAGAGTGTGCAAGTGGGATCTGGACCTGGTCCAAGCTGATTTTTGAAGGTATTGTAGCCTAGGTAACTAAAAAAAAATCAACACAGAAAACAAACTGCCACCCATATACTCTTTCCTTCAGAAGAGTACAAACATTATTTCCACTTTCTTTTTTTTTTTTACACTATTGACTTCCCACAGCAAAACTGTATCAACAGCCTATAACCAAGATCTCACAAACACTTGAGAAATGACTGACAAAATCCAAAAAGTCATCTCACATTGAACAATAGAAGGCTATAAGCTACAGCTGAAGCCATACCACTCATTTAAACTCTTGAGCATCTGTATTACTAAGAACAGTTTCCAAACATTGCACTGCCATGAGTTGTCAAATAGTGGGCTAGCATTAGATCCTCTACATGCCAGCTGGTCCTGAAATTCTTGACTGTCTGATGGTGGTGTATGTCTTTCTTCATGGTCTTATTCTTCTCTCATAAACTGAAGGCATGATTCAAAGTTTCATGACTAAAGCCATAAGACAGCATTCAGATGTGTATTTCTGTTTCTCTCTTCTCAGCTCCATGGTGCCTCCACACAGTAGGTGTTGAAGGTCAATGTTTGGGTAGTTCGTGTTCAATTTATTCATTCTGAAAAATCCTGTTTGCTACAGAGGTGCTAAGACAGGAAGTTACCACTATTAGAGGTACCACAACACACAAATGAAGAAAAGCTTCAGTCATCACATTCATATATATATGAATAAATATATATATCACATATATTTATATATGAATAAATATATATCACATATATTTATATATATGTTCATATATAAATTTATATTTATGTGATATATATCATGTATATATGATATATATATCACATATATAATTCTTTTATATATATAATTATATACATATATGTGATATATATATATATATATGTATATATATAATTCTTTTTATATATAATGCAGGACCTAGACAAACAAAAAGACTTTTGGGAGTACAGAACAGAAGATTTCAACTACATGGAAAGATCTATACTATTCCTGAGTGGAAAGTAGCAACATTGCAGGAATTTCACTTGCACTACACTGAAATCTGTATATTTCAGATAACTCAAAATCTTGCCAAAATAATTTCCAAGCTTATCTGAAGGAGTAATGATAATAATAACAATAATAATACCATGATAGTTATGAAGGAGAAAGTAAGATTTTTTTTTTCCTACAAGGCGTTTAAATTATTATAACACCATACAAATTACAGCAGTCTGAAATTGGCTCCAGTATAGGTCGATCAGTTGGAGAGCCTAGAAATCCACAAAGACCTGCAGTACATTTAGCCATTCCAATTTAGTCAAGATAGAACAAATTGTTCATTAACAACGGTCAGAACAACTGCTTAATCATTTGGAAAAGAGAGTAAATTGCTAGTTGAAATCAAAATAAATTTCAGGTGCATTAACGATGCCAATTTTAAAAAGAGGAAATTATCGAACTGCTGCTAGAAAAATACAGGCGAAAATTAACCATTTTTGAAATATAAAAGGGCTTTTTCAGTAAGACAATGAAAAAGGTGATCATTTTGATTAATTTAACTAGACAACATCTCAAATTTCTTACAGGAAATTAAAAAAAATGACGTTTAAATGCAAATTCCAAAGTAAAGAATACTTCATTGAGATCAAGATGCTCCAAAACAGTGGTCAACATTATTCATATATAAGTATGAACAAAAGAGTGGAAAATGGGCAAAAGACATTAAGACAATTAAAAGAAAATATAAGTGATGTAAAACATTAAAAAATGGTCAACTTCTTTAAGGGCCACTTTTATTTATAGATTTTGTAGAGGCTAAATACTTTCTAGTGATTAAGTATTTTTATAAGTTAGATCGGTAAAGACTGGATATTAAGTATTAGTGAAGAGGTGTTGCTGTTGAGCACATCATTTTCTAGAAGGTAAATTGGCAAGATATTTATTAAAGTTAAAACTGAGTATAGTCTTTTGCTAGAAATTTCAATTCTAGAAATGTTTTATAAGAAAATGTTTTATAAGAAAACACCAAGGAAGCTTAATGTAGCATTATTTACATGGGGAACGTTGGAAATATGTAAATGACTAACTTAACAAGTATGATTTGATAAATTATTCTGGGAACATTGTGTGATTATCAATGATGATCTCAACAATAGGCATATGCTGGAAGACTATTCACAGTATATTATTTTGCTAAAAAAATAAACAATAAAATTGAAACTGTGAACCATTGTACTTGGCTAGATATAAATTTTAGAAAGATTTATTGATTATTGATTATTTCTTTGAAAGACAGAGTTACAGG